CCGGTCCGGTCCAACCGGCCGGTGGCCGGTGCAGCCCTGAAATAAATAAATAAATAAAGAATGATAAGAATCCCTTTTTTTTTTTTTCGAAGTAAGCTACATTCTTCTCTCAAATGTCACCTCTCACTACCTACCTACCACTACTCCTAATCCCAATTTCGAATTTTCCCAACATGGTATGATTTTGTTAAATTTCCACACACAAAAAAAAGAAAATCCATACACTGATGCATGATAACATCTACATTGTGAGAAGGGCGGAAGAGGGGGGGGGGGGAGGGGGGGGGAAGTCACATCTTGAAGAAGCCAGTCGTCATCATTGCATTGTTGTCGGAGACTAGAGGTGATTATCAGCTGAATGTGGCAGACACCCACTGGTCTGTGGGTGTTTTTGTCCTTTGGTTCTTTCTCGGCCTCGCCGTCGCCATGTTTGTTCCGCTTCTTTGGGCCTCTCCACACCAGTGTCGAAAAAAATAAAAGAATTAGGAGTGCAATGTGCATGTTTCCACAAAGTGTGGCAAGATGCATCCATTCATATGAATGCCACTTACTGCGGCAGATGCAGTCATAAGCCTTTGCGTTTCGAGAGCAGTGCGGCGAGTTCCTTGTCTGCAGCAGGCACCACCCAATTTGCTACCCATCTCACCCCCCATCGGACCCGTCTCACGTCATGCCTCATTTCATGCACCCGTTCTTGCTACCTCTCACAACCCCCGTCGCACCCGTTTTTGCTACTACCGTCTTCCCCGGAACACAACGCACACCCTTTATGTATGTACCGAACCAGAAAGATAGTGTGTATACATTCATTATCAGGGTGCGTTATGTTTGGGGGAAGACGGTGGTCTCCACCCCCATCTCACTACCCGTCTGCCACTGCCTCACCCGCCCATTTTTTTCCGTCTGCTCACCGCACCCATCTGTGTTGCTGCTACCTCTCTCACGACCCGCCACTCCGCCCCCATCTCAGTAGGGGTTGTGGCAGCTGTCTCACGGACTCTCACCCACCCATTTTTTCTTCTACTCTCACTGCACCCATCTGTGTTTGTTGCTACCTGTCTCACCGCCCACCTCTGGCATCGTTCGTTGCTTGTGATGTTTTTTTTTTTTTTT